TTTTAATTTTTGCATACTATCTATGACCTGAAAATACTTTTTTAATACTTGAGATACTTTGTAGAAATATCTGTTTAAGTAACTGAAACAAACTTTTGGGAGAAAGATCATAAATACATTTCTAACTGATATATTATTACCTGGATTAAGATGTTACTTCAACTATCCTTACCTTTCCCTTCAGATAAAAAAGAAAGTAAAACCTGCTTGAGATCAAAAACTAATATTAACGACTTCTATGGAAAACACTGGCTAAGGGCTAAATCAGACATTAAAGGATAAAATTAGGAGTAGATTTCACAAGAATTTAGCAAAACAATGGGGTAGATCTTTAATATGAGCTGAGAATTAGAGTAGACTATCTCTCAACTCCATTAGATACAGTATTTTATGATTTAGGCAGTAAATAAAAAAGAAAAACAGTGAAAAGTAAAAGTATTTCCTAAAAGATAGTCTATGTAAAGTTAGAACTATTGGGACATTTACAAACTTCAGGAAAATTTAGTCTCAAGGAACACTAAGGCTATCTCAAGTTCAATAATAGGGACACAAGAAAGGTGAAAGTCACAGGGCTTAACAATTCAATTTTCTATAATTTAATGCCATTTAAAGTCACTTACAGGATTGTCTTCAATACTTTCAATACCACAGGTAATATTTTCTGTTATTTCTCATGGTTTCTTAGTGGTTTATTGTTTAATACACACTATGACTCTCTCAGAAATTCTAAAGAACAAAAAGAATTCAATGAGAAGTTTCACATTAAAAAAGTCCAACTGTGGCCATTTTGGGGAAACTCATTTACTCTCATATAGAAACTAATGGGATGAATGAAATAGAAAGCTGTTTGATATTAAAAAATTCTATGGGGAAATATCAATTTTATACAATAGAAAGATTACTTACTAAAACATATGAAAGACTGTTCTATTTTATTATCTTACCAATATAGAGGAGATAATACACGACAAAAGGAAATAAAATATAAAAAGTTAAGATAATTTCCATTTTAACAAAAAGAAATCTAAAGAATTTGCTACATAAGAAATATGGTAGAGCAGTGTATTATGAATCTAAATTTATGCTTTGAAATTATAATGCATAATAATTAATGGTGAAAGAGTCATGGAGTAATGATAGAATACACTGACTTGTAATAGATTATACTTTCAGATATTTTAGACAGTAAAAGCAAGGAAAGAGGTACATGTTTATATCTAAATAGAATGAGATGTCATTGCCTAAATTAAGACAAACTTGAAATTAGGCCCAGATACAAAAAGACCAAGTATAAAATTCTTTTTTAAACAACTCTATATTCACATTTTCCATGAATAATTATAATTGCTAGTATTTCTGTACTAATGTTCAATTTATAAAGTGAGAAATATATTTTCAAATAAAATTTAAATAAATAATCCTTCAGTTTCTGATGATAGCTTTCCTACAAGTAAGTGTTAATAGTGATACAGACAGAAATAGTCTACGAGAATAGTTTTTATATTCCTATATTAAATAAAAGCCTACGTGGAAAAACATTAATTATTTTGAATAATAAAATATTAGGGAAAGATATCAGTAGATAAATATAGCTATATCTTTTTTTACTTCTACATGCCCATCTTAAAATCTTTTTCTCATAAACAAGAAAACAATGCTATCTGTTCTAATTTACACATTTCATTCATAGCCTATAACACCAGAAGAATTCTCATATTTTCAAGTTCCTTGTTAAGGTTAACTTGCCTTTTGTTCAATGGTAAAAGCAAGCCTAACCACATGTACACAAAATGATTAAACTTTTGGATAAATAAAAACAGTTCAAACTAGTTACTTTCAGCAATAATAACTTATTCAAAAGCTTTATATAAAGATAGAAATGAATTTATCAAAAATCTGAAGCAATTCAAAAGAAGCCTTGGTGGTGATCAGTGCATTTTAGTGTCCTAAGTATTAATTCACAGGATAGTGACCGATATTTGGATAAAATCTCCTTTTTAACACAGTGACTACAGAGGTGCAACATGGATGGGGTCCACCTGGCTCAAAAGCACTACTGCACACAAATGCTTCTATTTTAGGAGACAATCTGGATTAGGGACTAGTACTGTGACCTCAATCTTACAAAAACATACAATGCTCTTTCAAGCCAAGGAAATATGTTTATGAATACAAATATCAAGCCTACCAAGGCATAGCATAGATCATAGAAAAAAATCAAACATAAACTTTGTAGAACTACTATCAAAAACCAGGGATTTATTCTTTAAAAATCGACATATATAAAGAATCATTTTCAGAGTAAATAGCTGAAAATGGTACATGTGTCTAAAAATTTGATACAATGTTTACTGTGAATCAGTGTAACTTGGGGGACCGCAGGTATTACAGTTATATTACAGAAGAGTGGTTTTCAAACTAAAACTAAAAAGGTAAAGAATTTCAGGAATTACCTAGAGTAGATTTTATATTTAATACACTATTTTACTACTGCCAAGTACTGTTTAAAAATCCATTTTGGTATGAATTATAAACAAAATTTAAACACAATGAAGACCTTCAGGGCACTGAAACAGCAGTAACTCACTGAACAGTATCCTATGATTGAAAGGCAAAGTAAGACCTGTAGCCATGCTAAAATACTCACCCGAGAGGACAGTGAAAACAAGTGCCAATGTTTACCACGAACTTCACATGCCAAGCCCTGGCTAGGTAACATCAATGTGTGTCTGACCTGATTTGTATAGGATCCCGCAAGGCTAGTCTACTAATAAGCCACATTTTACAAATTAAGACATAGCAGCCCAAGAGGTTAAAGAGTTTGACTGAGGTCACGCAGTCGAGTGCTAAGCCCAGATCTACACTCTTACCCATTCCCTCACACTGTGTCCTTAGCCCAAAGGAAGACAGGAACTGGATGTTTAGGTTAATTCAGTAGCAACTGTCACCAAAAACTTCCCATTTTACACATTTCTGCTCGATAAAAGATTTATTATACTGTTAATATTATAAGCCAATACTATGAAATCTACTCATACCTGGTAAATAATAATTCTATTCATTTTATAAATATGGAGTTTTGTATATAACCGTCTTTGAAACAATAATTCTGCCACTTTTTAAAAATGTAAGTTTGAAAACAATAGCTCTATAGGAGACTGTCCTGACATGGAAAAATAGTGACAATGTGTTAAATATGAGAAATAAAATTATACGGAAAAGAAACCAAATATTCCCCCCAAGACAACAACAAAAACTTTTTGCATGAAGTACAGATGAAAAGCATATAATTCTAGTAGCTATGCATAATAATTAAAGGAAAATTTTTAATTGCTTTTCTGTGTTTTAGATGGAAGGCAACTATAGCATGATCTTATAATAAAGAAAAAGAGCTTTCAATAATGTTTACTTTTCACAGAATTCAAACTATAAGCATTTTAGAATTTCTATTAACAGCACCTTAGCACATCTAACTGGATCACCATTTTCCCAATTTTCCAAAAAATACCAATTTTGTGTAACATGAAGATAGAACTCATAAAACATTGAATGAATAAATAATTAATGAGTGAAAAATATCTGTAATATCTCTGTACTATTTGATGACCTTTCACATAAAACTTAATGCAATAATGTGGCTGATAATAGAGATTATGGCAATAAACTTGCTGAATGCCCAGGCTACATACACAGTAATACAAAACTCTACTTTTTAACGACAGTTTCATATTTAATGTGCACATTCTAATATTCGATAGAAATGGAGTAAACTTAAAGAGACTGAATCTTTCCATGTCATTGTATATGACAGCCACAGCAGAGGTCTTCAGCTCAAATATAAAGTAGGCTTTCCCTCTTGGAGGCAGGCTTCAGAGGACAGATGTCATTAAGCTGCCTATAAACTCCCTGGTGTCCCAGACTACTAAGTGGGGTCCAAGTTTGCCTTTAGGTCCAGAGGCAGCTAGACCTGGATGTCAAGTTCCATTCCCCATCTTACCTTCCACAATGACCCTATACATACCTTGTCCTATGGTTAGGCCAGATGATTGAGCACTGCCTGATTGTAGCTCACACCTGTCTGCACCAAAGTTTTGCTGCTGCAACTGAGGCTGAGTACCTCTGCAATCTCAGTGAGATCAGCCCTCAATGAGGGGACTGAACATCCATAACCTTCAAGATGTTTTCAGAACTAAAACTCTGTAATTACATGTCATCTCCCCATCTCAGAACATACCATGTGTCCTTGAAATTTTATCATCTTTTATACCATAACTGAAATGCTCTCCCTCCTATGAGAAACTCATCACAGTCTTTGTCTATATTCTCCTCCGGCCTCTTGATTCACCCATTCCAATCTGTATTACAATTATTTGTGAAAGTAATTTAGTAATTTATTATACTGTAATGTCCTTAAAGACAGGAAACATTTCTTACATCATCTTCATTATCTCAATGAGTGTTTCATTCACATTCTACAGATGTGCTGAATAATGCAATAGTTTCTTACTCTGAGCAATAAATTCACTAGACATTTAGGTGTAGCACTGTTAAGATGATAAAAATGGAAAAGAATTATATTATGAACAGTCACTAAAATACTGATACTATCGTCATCGATACCTATCATTAGAAACTTATCCCAACAAATATACAACACCTAGAGTGAATTCTATGGGTAAACTATGGACTTTGGTTAGTAATGCTATATCAATATAGGTTCGTCAGTTATAGTAAATGGATCTTTTTGCTGCGGTACATTGATAATGAAGGAGGTGTTCATGTGTAGGGGAAAGGGTGCCTGAGAAATCTCCATATTATCCTCACAATTTTATTGTGAACCTAAAGTTTCTCTGAAAAAGTCTATTTATAAGAAGTCACTAAAATTAGCTATGAAAGTAAAGTCCCAGTCAAATATGCCAGTATGCTGACTCATGTTGACTAGAAAAACTACACTTTTATAAATGATTCATCTAGTGTGGTGGTCCATCTGGCTTCATTACCTGTAGTCACACCAGGGGCATCTGTAGGGCTTCTCTCCGGTGTGCACACGCTTATGTCGAGTCAAATGGGACTGGGTTGTGGAGGCAAAGTTACACTCATCACATTTGAAAGGTTTTTCTCCTGAAACACAACAAGAAATGTTGTATATGAAGAACAACAACTGCACATGAAGGGCTAAGCCTGTTTCAACAATTTAAAAAATCTTATTTCCATAAAATGTTTAGAATAGCATTCAATGGATTCTACATCTTTAGGATATTTGAATATTTATTCTTATATTCGGAAAGTTAGAAGATGTTATTGATTTTTTTGCTTTTCTATTAAAATATAAGCATAGTACATGGTATGTGTTAAAGTGTATCTTACATAAACAGGAATCTAAATAACTGGTATGGCTGAGCACCTATGTAGAATGATTTAACAAAAACTATATTATGTCATTACATAAATCTCAGTGATGACAGAACCATGGAAAAGCATAAGGCTGTGATATATGTTGAATATAGGCTATAAAACTTATTAAATTCTTAAAATTAAATATGGAGAAAATATAATCAATCTTTAAAAGTAAAAGAAACTGCACTGGGGATTTAGCTCAGTGGTTCCGCTGCATGCCTTGCAAGCTCAAGGTCCCAAGTTAGAGCCAAAAAAAAAAAAAACCTAAAACAAAAAAGTAAAAGAAACTACAGTTCAGTAAGTTAAAAAAAAGTACAGAAGCCTCAAAGAAAATTTTGAAATGATATTTAATATCCCTTTAAAACATCATAACCTTGTGTAGATACAGGGGTGAGAGAAGGACACGGGGGTATGTCTCACAAAGTACTTGGTTCAGTGGATCCCTTTCTCTCACTTACCTACTTCTCCCTCACTCACATGCAAAGACTCACCAAGTCTTAACAGTTTCTAATTCCATAGCTAGATTGGCTGGGGCACACTAGAAACATCATTGTTTAATTTTAATTAATGTAAATTTAAATTTAAAAAACTGATATTTGATTCTGCTGTTGAAAAAAGTTTAAACATGAATAGAACAGTTTAGGAATGTGAATCTACTTTTTGAAGTACAAATTTTATCAAATCTAAATAGAAAATCTGCCCTCTGAATTGAGATGTGTATAAGTGTAAAATATATACCAATTTCAAAATTTTAGTTCAAAATAATATATTGCTAGTAATGTTATGTTGATTTCATGTAGAATAATTTAGATATATTTCATTAAATTGACCTATAAAATGATTTTAACTCAACGTTTTTCTTTTAAATATAGCTACCAGGATGTGAAAAACTGAAAGTGTAAATAAGGATCAAGATGTATAATAGATAATGTAAAATAGGAAGAAAAGGTCCAAAGGGGAAAGGAAAGTGGGAGATGGAGGGGAAAGGAAAGGAAAGAAGTGAAAGGAATAAATATGAGAAAAGGAAAAAATGGAAACAAAGTCTTTGTAAATAGGGAGGAGTGGAGGGGTTGAAGGAAGGGCAGGGGAATGGGGAAAAAAATAAGAACCAAGATATATCATGTAAAGGTACAAATTCCCAATAATGAATGTCATCATACTGTATACCTAAAATGTACCAATAAACGTAATAAATAAAACAATATATAGCTACCAGGAGACATAAAAGTACATGTATAACTCACACTATATTTGTATTAAACAGTGATAAGAGTGCAGAAAGCCTCATATCCCTGTTCTTCCCAAACAATTAATATATATTAATACAAGGTGTGATTAAAAAATACAGTGTTGAAATTTTTTTTTTGGTGTAGGGGATCGAACTTGGGACCCAGCGCTTGAGAGGCAGGCAGCAGAACCACTGAGCTAAATCCCTGGCCCTACAGTGTTGAAATTTTTAAAAAATCTATTACAGTAAAAGACATTACCATTAATCTCCCTCAAAATACTTTCCTTCTCTTCAAACACACTTATCCTATTGTTCTTGGCATTTTCTGAAGCAGTTCTGAAAGTTTTTTTGTAACTTTAGTTGCAATGTCATGGTTGTCTCATCATCATAAATTGATTTAAAACAGTTACTTTTCATGGTCATTTTGACATTAGGGAAGAACCAGAAGTTGCATGGTGCCAGATACAGTGAATAAGGTGGATGAGGACACACCATAGTATTTTTACAAGCCTGCCTTTCTTTGTAATCAGCAGCTGCATTTATGATATTTTTATCACAAAAGGGGACTTTCAGAACTTGCTTCAGAGTGTCAAGAATAATGGGATAAGTGTGTTTGAAGGGAATGGAAGTATTCGAGGAAGATTAATGGTAATGTATCTAAACATTCACTATTTTTCAGTCACTCCTTTTATTCTTCTAAACATATTTTTCCTGATAAATTTCATATATAGAGTGCTCAACTCTCTCCACAATTCTGGTCACAAACCAAACTGGATGAAAACTCAATCAAATTTTCCCCCATAGGTTGACATAGAATCTAACCATTGAATTTGATTTGGTTTTCCTCCAACTTAGTTTGCAACCAGAATCATGAAACGAATCAAGTTTGTGAACCGAGGTGTATGTATGTATGTATTTATGTATGTATGGACTGATTTTGTGTACTGTCAAGATAGAAACTGCACATGTAGCAGTGTTCAGTGACCAGTAGCTCTTATCTAATGAAACACTGATAACTATATACAGTCTCTCAGCAATAAAAGAAGGAACACACAAGTGGCCCTAACCAAGAGCTCAGAACCAGAAAAAAGATAAGCAGCTAGCACACAGCAAAAACTTGTCCAGTTAATGAATATGACACAAGGTATCATTTAATAGATCTTCCTGGGAAATATTTCTATTTGATTTATTCCTAGTGAAGGAGAAGGGAGGGGAGAAGGAAGGGTAGGGGAGTAAATGCAATGCCATGTTAAAAAAATTGGATTAAAAAGGATACTCCAGAAAGAATGGCTGCTATCAAGAAATTAACTAATCACAAAGGCTGGCAGGGCTGTGAGGAAAAAGGAACCCTTCTCCACTGTTGGTGGGAGTATAGACTGAGGCAACCACTGTGGAAATCAGTGTGCAGATTCCTCAAAAAACTAAAACTAGAGGTTCCATTTGACCCAGCTATCCCCCTTCTTATCTTCCGAAAAGAATTAAAGGCATCATACCACAGTGATATATGTACACCCATGTTTATAGCAGCACAGTTTGTAATAGCTAAATCTTGGAAACAGCCCAAATGGCTATCACCTGGTGATTGGATAAAGAAGATGTGTGTGTTTTTATGAAATGAAGTACTAGTCAGCCATAAAGAAAAACTAGAGTCATTTATAGCTAAATAGATGCACCTTGAGACCGTACTCTTAAGTGAAATAAATTGAACACATGTGTGAATATCAAATTGTTTCTCTGGTGTGAGAAAGTGTAAATGAGGACTGAAATGTATAACAGATATTGTGAAATAGGAAGAAAATGTTCAAAGGGGAAGGGAAACTAGGGAGGGGGATGGGAGAAAGAATAGAAGGGAAAGAAAAAATGAGTAAAGAAGGAAATAATGGAAACAAAGTTTCTGTAAATAGGGAGGAGTGGAGGGGTAGAAGGGAGGGAAGAGGGATGGAAAAAAAATAAGAACCAAGATACATCATGTACAGGTACAAATTCTCTATGATTAACGTAGTCATAATGTACATCTAAATTGTACCAAGAAACTCAATGAATAAAAAAAATAGTAAGCCTAAAAACAAACAAAAGAGGATTTTTGTCTTTTAGTCAGTTGTCCTTAAGATAAATCCCACCTGCAAAACCACAATCAAGTGATCATGCCAGATATGCTTAAGTAACTCCTTGCTGTCAGTTTCTAAACCTCTGGTCAAGCAACTTAAACTGTTGTAGACAATTCACTGTACTGATGGACACACAAAAACTCGCTCTCATGATGATGGAAGACTTTGATTTAATTTGAGGGACAATATGATACTCATATTGTGTAAGGTTGAGAGAAAATAGCTCAATCTCTTGAAATATGATTGAAGAGTATTCTGTGTCATGGAAACATCAACAGTCACACAAAAGCATAACTGAAAATGTTATATTCATTATAAGAACTGATTGTGGTCACTGAGTTCATCGAATAGCAATTTTAGTACACACCAGCATCAAAAAGAAATCAAGAAAAAAAACTGCACCTGGTGGCACAGGTCTGTACTCCCAGCCCTCTAGGAGGCTGAGGTAGAAGGATCACAAGTACCAACCCTAACTTAGGCAACCCGGTGATTTAGTGAGACACTGTCTCAAAACAGAATAAAAAACTAGGCTGCAGTTGTCACTCAGTGCAAAGGACCTGGGAGTTTAATTCCCAGTATCACCAGAAAAAAAAAAAATCAACATTGATTATTTTATTAATTTGAGTAACTGACCATAGAATGTATACAGTATTTGAACAGCTTCATGAGGTATAATAGATACATAAAAACTTCACATATTTATAGTAGACATTAATAAGGTTATTACTGATGCAATTACCATCACAATTAAAAGAGTGAACAAACACCACTATTATTCCCAAAGGATTTCTGTACCCTACTCCTCTCCCCACTCATCTCACTTCTGTTACCACACATCTGTTTTCTGTCACTATATATTAAGTAGCATTTTCTAGAAATTTATGCATCTGGAAACACACAGGATGTACTCTCTTTTTTTCTGCCTTTCCTTCAGCATAATTATTTTGTGAGTCATCTATGTTGACATGGACATAAACACTTCATTTACATTTGTGGTTGAGTAGTATTCATTACACGAATGTAGCACAATTTGCTTATTCACATATTCATTGAAGGACACTTGAATGTTTTTACTCATTGGCTATCAAGGTTTATATTTAAGTAATTGCATTGACATGTATTTCCTTTCGTCCTGAATACTCAGGTGTAGGATGGTTGGGTAATATGTTATGTATACATTTCACTTTGTAAGAACTGTAAAACTGTCCAAAGTGTGACCATTTTATATTCCCAACACCTGTTTATGAGAGTTCCAGTTGCTCCAAACCCTTGGTGTTGATGCTGTAAATCTGCATCTCTCTATGAATACTGAGGATCTTTTCATGCACTTACTGGTTATATTTTTATATTCTCTGGAGAAGCATGTGCTCAGATCTTTGTAAAATTGGTTGTTTTCTCAGAATTGTGTTTGAAAGTTCTTTTTCTGTTCTAGATGCAAATTCTTTATAATATTTGTGATTTGCAAATACTTTCTCCAAGTCTGTGATATGGGTTTCCTTTCTCTTCTCGGGGCTTTTAGTTTTATATTAAGTCTTGTGATAAGGTAGAGTAAGTCCAACTCTGTTATTCTTTCTTAATCTTGTTTGACAATTTCAAATCTTTGCATTTCTATTTTTCATAAGAATTTTAAAATCAGATTTTTGTTTCTTCTGAGTACTGAGGTTGGTTGAACCCAGGGTGTTAACACTGAGCTATATCTTTAGCCCTTTATTTTCCTTTTTAAGACAAGTCTGGTTAAGTCACTAAGTTGCCCAGGCTGGGCTTGAACTTAGAATCCTTTTGCCTCAGCCTTCCACAGTGCTAGAATTACAGGTGTTTTTCACCACTCCTGGCTGAGATAGTCAATTTCTTAAAACAAACAAACAAACAAACAAATGACACATGGGATTTGTAGTGAACAATACAGAGTAAAATGAAATCTTAACAATATCAAGGCCTCTTATCCATGAACATGGTATACTGCTTTATTTAGGTGTTTAATTTCTCTCAGCAGTGTTTGAGGTTTTGTATATCCTTTGTTAAATTTATGTTTGAGTATGATTTTCGTCTAAAGATAATTGACAAATACATGTACAGGTCTATTTCTGGACTCCATTCTGTTCCACTGATCTATCTGCTCATCTTTATGTAAATAAAATTCTGTCTTATGGTAACTAAATAATGGGATCTTAATTTACATAGTATAAATCATGCCCTTTTAATATACCAAATCTAAACGGTCAAGCAATTTATAAGATCTTACTCATTATGCAAATTCACAAATATATTCTCAATTATCCATATTCCATTGAGATTGTTTATAAAATTTTTTAATATCATACCTTACTGCTACCTAGTTTATTGTAATATCCTTGATAAATCACTAAGCTATCCACTCTTCATGATTTGGCAGGTATCTGAAGGAAGTAAAAGGGTGCCATTATGGACTCCATTATCTAAGTCAGTGGTATAAAGAACTAAGATCTTGAAACTTAATTTTCTTGGTTTGGCATTTCAGTGCATGCTCTTTAAAAAATGTTTTAAATGTAGCTTATTTCATTTAAGATTTCATGGCATTTTTATGTGATCCAATTTAAATTGAAAAACAATACTTTTAAAGAATAATACCATTTATATTCTTTGTAAATCTAATAATTCATAGTCCACATTAAGGCAGTATTATGTCAGAGTAAATTACAAATTGTAATTTAATATCTGTCTTGACCACACAATAGATTATACTGTGTAATACTGTGAAATTCTAAATTATATATAGGTTGACAAGGAAAATATAATTCAACAAAAAATTGAACTACACAAAATAGTATGCTAAAGAAGGCCTACTCACATACAAGTTCTTGACAGTGTTAAGAGCACTGTATCAATTTAAAAAAACAAAAGTTTATCTGTGCATAACTGTTAATTTGTAACTCATTTATTTTGCTACATGTTCTACACTTTTGCTGTAATAAACTTAGTAAATTTTTTTAAATCACTTTTGGGTAATTTTTTCAGGAATATATGCTATAGAAACTAATAAGGAATTTGTTTTTTAGTCTCAGTTTCTAGTTAACATGTAAATCTAATTTCTAGACTGTAAAGATTAAAAGAAAATCTCATAGATTTGACATAAGAATTTTATTTTGTTAAATATTCAACTGTTTGAAATTAAGTACTCGATGAAAAATGTATGCAGCTGCTAAGAAAGGGTTTTGATGGAGAACTGATTGGGAACAGTATTTCTGAATCCTCTGTCATTGCAAAGCCAGAGTGAGATATTAACTTAATAACAATATTATCTGTAAGTCCACAGGGCTACTTGTATATATTCTATTCAAAAAAGCAAAACAAGAAGTTTTTTCATTCTGCCTATATTTCCTTTACATGATACAACATTGCATATCAGTTTAGGTTTTCATACTTTCCTTTACAAGCAATAATCTCAGGCAAAATAACCATTAAGGATACTTAGTACCTTAGGTATCACCAATAGAAAAGTGAAAGTTAAAGCAGAGACACCAGAATAGCTTGTAGCCATAGTGCAGTGTCCTTTTGTGTGTCAACCATCTGTCAGACTGGCTGACCACATCTCATGGAAATCACACTTCATGTTCCTTAGGGTGGGTTACAGGTTATTAAGCTGGCCAGGACTCTTCAACTACATGTGCAGATAGGCTTCTGTGCCCTTGAATCAAGGGTCTCTGACAGGTGATAAAAGTAAATCTCAGAATGGGAGATGTTTTGTGTCAGGCCCCCAGAAAATCTGTATTGCAGTAGGGAATTATTTATGCCATTTGGAATACTTCAGATACCTATCCCCTTCCTAGCTGATTGTAATTTGCGTGGGCACTCTGTGGTAAAAAGGTAAACCATGTCAGAGAGGGAAACATCAAAGAAATATAGATTTCAAATGCACCATTCAAGTCTGGCCTTGGAAGAAAAAAGTTTTATGTTGCTTAAACATTTTAAATCCAGCATAAAAGCTAAGTGCCTAGACTGAGTTGAACTGAGCTGTTTTGTTAAAGTCAACAGTCTAAAGAACTGACTTTGGTATTAAAAAATTGTGTTTGATTTGTGCCACAGAGGCAGATAAATGCCAAAAAGATAGATACCTCTGTCTGTGAGACATTGTCCTATATAGTATAAAGTTAATAGGAAAGTAATAAGGAGCCTCTGGACCTGACATAAAATATAAAGTTGTGCAGGCTCAATGCAAGCTTCCTGATCGATCCATCAGCAGGAATGCCTGCGATCGCAGTATTTTTATCTCCATAGCAGGGCAAAGAGGGGCACTATCCACTGGCAGAGGTGGCAGAGAGAGGAGTCTGCAGACCCCTGGGGCTACACCAGATGGGACCAGGAAATCTACTGTGACATTTGAATCACAACACTTTGAGTACCAGTAAACTGGAAACATTATGAATAAAAACCCTAATGAGCCCACTCCTTCTACGCATATTTCTAACTTGATAAATATTTAAAACTTTTCATTCTTAAACATTTCTAAACAAGAAGTCTATTTTATTTTGTTGAGTCACCAGGAATGCAAGTCATGGGGGGAGGGGTTCTCTTCAGTGTTCTTAAGTATCTCTTATGTTCCTTCACTGTTGTTATTCATTCTTAATTTCAATGTAATATAAGTAGATATTAGTAAAAATATTTTAAAAGCACTCTTCTTACTGTTACAAAAAAAGACAAATTTCATACCAAAAAAAGTAGAAAATAACAATATTTAAGACACTATGCATCATAATCTTAATGGCCAAAATTTTACTCAGAATACAAGTCACAGACAAAAGAATCTCTCTTACAAAAAAGAAACAAATAAAAGCACAAGACTTTCTCTTCATTGAACTAAGAAACTAGTAGTATAAATGAAATAAATTAGGATATATGCTAAAATATTTTTGATAAAATGGAGTAGCTACTTTGGGGAATTATTTGCACTTCTCCCTATTTTATATTTACCTATCTTTTTAAAATTAAGTTTATTAGTATATTTTAGATATACAATATGATGACATTCATCATTGGGGATTTATACCTGTACATGATATATCTTGGTTCTTATTTTTTCCCCCACTCTCCTGTCCTCCCTTCAAACCCTCCCTATTTACAAAGACTTTGTTTCTGCTTTTCCCTTTCTCATAGTATTCTTTTCCCTTCTTTTCTTTTTTATTTTGCTCTCTCTCTCTCCACATATACAGTTTCTCATATAAGAAAAACCATGTGATATTTAAGCTTGTGTGTCTGACTTACTTCACTTACCATTATGTTCTCAAGTTGCATCCATTCTAAGTAGAATAAATAAAACAGTATTGAATTCAAATCACATCTAGTTACACTTGGACAGTCAGATAGGAGGCTAGGCAAGAAGGCAGATACACATGCAGATGGATGAGGAGGCGCAAGGTGGGAGGAGACGATGACTATAGACACAGGTTTCCCAGTTCCCACCCAGGAGGCTAAGACAGAGTCTTGTTGATAGAGAAAACAGAGTTGTGCACTAGAGTTTTGAAAGCCAAACTATTGTTTTCCTCCTACTTAACAAGAATTTACTGGGGATACCCGATCTCTGAAATACACAATATGTCTACTTTTTTATGTATATTAAAGTAGACAATTTAAAATCTTGTATTATTTTAATAGAATTTTCTGTGGGCCCTCAAGTACAAATATTTTATACAAATATTAAAGAGAAATGTAACTGATAAGGCCAAGAGTGGTGGCAGGGAGGTGTGACACCTTATTCTTTCTCTGGAGAGAAGGGCTGGGGCAGACTCTATACTGACCTGTGTGCTGCCGGCGGTGCTTGGTGAGGGCATGCCGTGTTCCGCCAGCAAAGCCGCAGAGGTCACACAGAAACGACTTCTCGCCTGTTGCAACAATAAACAGATGAGGGACTGTGGAGGTCACAGATCATTAAAACGTATCTATCAAGGCTTTCAGGGTTACTAATTCCTCCAATCAAATGTTTCCATGTAAATATGTCAAATGGGAATGAAATTACCACTGCGGTTTATTGACTGTGATAAAATCTGAAAAGCACCACTGAACATAATTACATACTTGTCAGACCCATAAAAATTAGCTTTATTATCAATGGAATGGTTTTGTACAACTTCATTTCTGGTAGATGTCTTCCAGATGGGGCTGCTTTATGCACTTGAACAGTTTTTATGCATATCCTGATTTTTTACAATTCCCATACATCTGGCCTTTCTGAGCTGAGTAAAGATTGCTTGGAATAGTTAATATACAGTATACACAATACTGCTTAAATAAAACACTGAATATTCTAACAACTTAAGAATATTGAATTGGTTTTACCTGATTCTATCAGGTTCTTCCTTAATCACTTCAACTTACTATTATGAATTAAGTGGTTTCCCTGAACATACTAAAGACCCCAAGTAATAGGAAAATCTGTATTACTCAGTACCAATAGCAAATCAATATTGCTTATGTTTCTCAAACTTCCACTGCCAAAAAAAAAAAGAAAGAAAGAAAGGAAAAAACAAAAGAAGCCAAAGGATTGGAAATTCTATAAAAAATCCCCTTATCCATCTTTAACAATAATTCTGGAATGGAAACCTCTGCAACAGATTAATTCAGCAGATGAAGTGTTTGTAGAAATGCGCAAATGTTCATTTTTTAGCATTTTTATACAAGCTAATATCTTGCCTTACAGTTTATTAACGTAATGTATCTTTTTATTGTAGCATATTTAGAGAGTATGTGCTGGCCAGCTAGTCAGATTATCCCATAAGATTCACAAAGGGCAAACAGAATAAAAATGTTAACCTTGTAGAGATTCAGTGAAACTGTAAAATACATTTTGAGAAAAAAATTAATCATACATGTATTTATTTTTAGCCACTTTACTCTTTAGACATTTAATGTAACAAGTCTTTCCAGGATTTTGCCCAACTGAGTCTCATCTGTTCTGGTGTTCTGGTATTTCATGAAAATTATTTAGCCCATGGCACTTCTGGAAACTATAACTGCCTTTTTAAGGTTAAAATATATAGCAAACACGGCCGGGGATTTAGCTCAGTGGTTTCGCCACCTGCTGCACAGGCACAAGGACCCAAGTTCAATCCCCAGTACCAAAAAAAAAAAAAAAAAAAAAAAAAAAAAAAAAAAAAAAAAAAAATATATATATATATATATATATATATATATATATATATATATAGCAAAGATATGAAAGTAAAATAAGTTTGATAATCAAAAAATATTCCCTTCTCCTAAGCATTTAATGACTTTTCTAAATTAAATGAACACTTCAAAATAAGGAGACCTTTAACTAAAGTATATTTAATCTTATCTCCCAAAGGCATGTTAAAATGTTCATTATCACTCAAAAGTAGAAATGAATTTAAATACTTTTATAATTTCACTCTCCTATTTTGGGATTAAGTTTACTCCTTTGTATCATTATTTCAGTATAAACTGAATAGAGCAGATAGGCTGTGAAGAATAAAAGTTTAATTATAATCATTTAATTATTGAATCAATTTGAAATATAAATCTTTCTAACTAGCTGTATTATCAATTAAATAATACTGAAGTAGTTTCTTTAATTCTCAAAAGACAATTTGCTTGTTAATATTAACATACCATTCTACGCTGAGGCAAAATCATTCTTTACAATTTATTCACTACCATAACTCTCTGGATTGTTTTACCTGTAATGGTACAAACATACATTGCCACACATCCACATGAATAGGGAGTGCATGTTTAAGACTGTGTGTTTACACACTACACATATACACAAGGGCAAATACACATACATTTCATTGTGTGTGGTACTAGGAATGTTGGTGTGGTAGCATTCAATTGTCAAAATTTCTAACAAGGAATAAGTACTCTTATTGCTTCTTTTCATTAAAGAAAAGTATTTTTCACTTCTGAAATTCAAGAATATCTTTATGACCTACATCTTCCTTCTAAAATAAAATTTTAACCATAGAAAAATCATGAGATTTATATTCATTCATATGCTATATATATACTATATGTGTATACAAAGATTATATATAAGCATAGATAGCATATATTAAGTTTTATTCACTTAACTATTTTAAGATATATAAAAACACAAAGAAAAATCATTTATTTTCCATGGGATTCGATTCTAGATACATTAGTGACCTTGATTTTTTTGATGTGTACAATTTTATCTAGGATGGTAGTCTCCAATGTATTGTATGTCATATTTACCCTGATGGCTTCACTTTTTTTTTCATTCTAAATGCAATTTTCACTTGCCTTTCTCTGTGTGTGTGCATGTGTGTGTGTGCATGTTTGTGTGTCTGTGTAACAACAGCAGCGATAGGGTGAAACAGTGGGCAAAAAAATGTTTTTTGAGAAAAATTTAAGAAAAAACTAAATGTAATCTTTCACTCATTACAGAAGGGGTTCATTTAGCATGCCATATTTATATGATAGCAGAGATATAATGGGAGACTTCTTTTCATAACAACTTGAATTAGTTTCAAGTGTGCCATTTTGCATTCAGATGTAGAAAGACATGGAAACCAATCCTTTATTTTCTATTAGAAAACAGCCACTGTCCCCTATCTCTCATTATGGTGCAGACTACAAGACCTAACAACAAAAATCCATATTATTGATCCAGCCAAGTCTCCACAATTATTCTTTAGAAGGAAACGCCGACGATAAATTACATCTGCACTGGCTTTTCATCTGCTGTTCGATATAAGTGATCTCTCAGGGCAGGCTGGAGACCTTAAATCGTCAACACCCTTGTCAAGGAAGCTAAGGAGGCCTGGGCTTCCCACAAACTGCTTCAGAAGAACTTTTAACCTATAATTTCTAAGAATAATATAGGATTCTTGGCAATCAGAAGAACATTTGGGAATGCTGATTAAAATTTATTATTTTTTCTCTGAAACAAAATATATTCTGAGAGGTGTAAAGCAAAAGGTGACAAAAATATCAAATAGCTCATAATAATATAGTATAACGATATAAGAAAAGTGCTCAGATATAAGCGTCTAGGGAAGTTTTGGGTCCAATCTACTGAGACAATGAAAAATAAGTCATAAACATAGCAATGACAATAGCATATTAATGGGATATACATTCATGAAGGCCCCAACTAAGTGTCCTTAGTACTATGCCCAACTCAGATGTGTTTGCAACACTGCCGTCACTATCAATTAGTTCAAATTCCACACAGTTCTTTCAATGTTTTGGTGTAAAATTTATTTGAATTTGGGCTTTTTAATGTATATTATGAAAAAGTTATAGTAGATCAATTCAGACTACCCACTATGCATTATCAAAAACTCTTAGTTCTGACAACATTCTCCCTGATAGACTAATTTACCTGAAATTTCTTAAATGGTATATAAAACTAAGAATAAATAATAGTAAAAAAATATTGTGGCAATAGGTTATTTCCATAACAAAATATAAGATCAGTTCCTTTGAAAACATAATATCCCAAATCATCTTTGATAAGGTTCACATCTAAAATGATGTGTTTACATACACATGTACTTCCAAAACATGAGCTTACAAATATGAACCTAATTGTTAAGACACATGCACACACATGTGCACGCACACATACTAAAATGTCCCTTCAACACTACGTTGAGTTTCACTGAAAAGTAATGAATGATACTGTACTTTTTTCAAACATAATTACCACAATCTTGAATTCTGCAAATAGGACATCATTCCCATTGATTACTATCACGGTAATTAATGTACACTTCTCACAGCCCCACCATGTCTCTCTCTGCCCAGACTCAAGGAAAGAAAGGGACATGGCACACCTGTGTGCGTCCTGTAGTGGTCTTTCATTGCGGAGGCTGTAAGGAATGAGTAGTGGCATGTGGGCCAGGTACACTTAAAAGGCTTTTCTCCTGTGTGCAGTTTCATGTGGTTGTTCAAGGCCCACTTCTCTGTGAAACTTCTATCACACAAATGGCATGTAAATTTCCTGCATGAAGGAGAGAGAAAACAAGGTAAATTTGGCTTACACACTAACGTCAAAGGCCCCAGACATAGTGAATGGTAACTCAGAAGGGTGGTGCGCAGCCTCTGTGAGGAGAACTGCAGGCTTGGTCTGTCATGTCTGTATAACCAGGCATTGATTTTTCTGTCGAGGCCTGGCATTTCAGCCATTTATTCTCTGCTTTGCGGTTGGGCCCAACGGGTTTGAAAAATTCTGTTACAGTCCAGTCACCCCTGAGGCAAAAGTGAGAATAGATTTCACCTGTACAGGCCTACACCACTTATCCAGGGCATGGGCTGTCAGAGCAAAGGCTAAATGAAATGCTATCCATACTCAACCAGACAAGCCCTGCTTTCTACTAGGCACAGAGCTGCTCCTGAAAGGCACCCCACGGCCCCGTAGCACCACACTCCCAAGAAGAAAAAGGAGCCTTTACTGTGATTCCTGATCAAGTAGTCCCTCTAGGTTATCACAGGGGTACATAAAGTTTCCTTTGATAAAAATATAAGCAGATTATCTATAGTTTTTACTTTAAAAAGTCTCTGACAAAAAGAAACTATAAACATTCCTATATAAAAAAAACAACCTTGAAACTAACAAATCAGTAGTTACATAAGAAAATATTGCAGGTTCCAATTTAAGATCTTTTAATACCCTTAACAATAAAAGTAATCTGACCATAAACAAAATCTTCAACACTTCCTACGGTTGATTTAATGTCCCTTTTCACTTGCATTCATGAAATCATTATTAGCATTTATTTTATTTCTTATACTACTGAGTAAAATCAATCTCTGTAACTAATTAATTCAAGATAATTAACAGCAAATTAAAACCCAACAAAAAGTATTTTAGTAAACTGATAAGCACTATGCCAAAAAAAGAGAGACCATGGCAGCTCAAATTGATTACCATAAATTAGGCTGTACTTTCAGCCAGTTGATGCAATCAAAAATATATGGTTATAATATCTGTTTTAAATTATATTATCAATAAAAAGTTGTAGAAAGAGTGTATATATATATATATATATATATATATATATATATAGTCATACACAGGTTTTAACCATTATTTTACAAATTTCCTTAGCTTCAATAGGGCAGATAAAGAATCATAAGCTCCAAATAATTGAATTTCCCATTTGGGAGATATTACATGGACTGCTTGAACAAGTTAATCATATGGAGTTTCATAAATTCCTATGGATAAAATTATGAATTACTTTTGTTATATGTAGTTATGAAGTTAGATCGTAAATGTAAAATAAAACTGATAAACATTTCAGAAATGTCATAATATATTCTAAGCACTTCATTAATAGTAAATTGCCAATTTATTTATCTCTATAATGAATGTGAAGAGACACTATTTTTACACCCATTAACACAGACTGACTTTGAAATTACTATATCATTTGATCCCTGCCTGCTGGTACTAGAGAATGACAAATACAACGAAATATTTTGAAGTACCCTGGAAAAAATATCATGTTCGTATATCTCTTTGACGGGTCTTCATGCATTTAACATTTCAAAACCATGACAGGATCTTATTTCCAAGATAAATTCCCCTATCTACTTATTTCTTCATGTATTTATTGTGGATCTAACCTTCTCCTACACGAAATAAATAAGGAGGTTAACTAGATGCTATCTTTAACAAATAGTTCCTCCAGACTGTATTACAACTTTATGAATGACAAAATAAATCCTTCATTTTTAAAGGGACCATGATGTACATTTAACAAAATTACATCTATGTAACCCCAATGTAGGTACTCTATTATTCATATGTAATAAAAAATGTTAAACTGAAGCTTAGTGCCTGTCATGAAACAAGAAAAGCCAGATAACAAAGAACAAACACCAACCACTGGACTTTCAGAAAACCACACAGGTCTTATAATCTCCTTACAAAAATAAGCTCATTTACTGGCACTTTGAAAAGTACTAGATATATTATCAATGTAAACTGTCCTTATACAGATTAAGTTCTACTTATCAGTGGGTTTTCTCCTCAAGCTAGACAAATACAGAGTTTCTAATATTCTAAAATATCTGCCCTCACACAAATTCATGCTGGCTTGGTTATCTGCTATGGAATGCTGGCTCTCTTTAGGGCCTTCAGGAATCCTTCCTGAGGCATGTCCAGGACAAACCCTGTACTAAAACACAGTTCTTCTCTGTGGTGTGGACCCAAGGATAAGGATAAGGATATCAGTGTGTGCTTTAGATGAACTTTAGAAATGCCATATTATCTCTACTCCAAGAACACCAGGGTGGATAGCATAGAGAAATCAGAGGGAAAAGAGTCAGATTTGGCTTTCAAAGAAATTATAGCCTAATAAGGGAGAAAAACTATTCACAAAAAATAAACTGAATGCCAGAAAAAAATTTAAAATGCCATATTAATTTAAAAAGAAAACCAGTAATGGGGCAGGACAGATTAGAGGGTTCTCAGAGGTAGCATTTAACTTAAACAATAAAATACAGGTGACAACTAGAAATACAGTACAGAGTTAGCAGCAAGGATTCCAGTAACAGGAAATGCATAAGAAAGCCCCGAGCTGGTAAGCAAAGGTGCTAGGAGAATCTCACACACTGTGACTACAAATCATCTACAAGCTACATCTTCAGTGGTGCATTTCCTTCCAGACACCAGCAACAGGATGAAGCCCTGTGACCTACAGTGAGTGGGTAATATTAGAAGTCATTGATGATGAGAAATTTCTTGTTTAATTAAAGTTAATATATATTAAAATAGGTTTATTTTGCAAAAAATAAAATACAGTAGATCAGTGAAAGGATGTATGAAGGTGAGTAATTCATAATCATGTAAAGATTAGACTAGCACACAAATGCATTTGGTATACCCTACAATTAAGGCCAGAAACAGGCCTGGGACTTAGCAAAGTTCAATGAATAATTTTAGACCAATTAATTGGATGAAATGAACTTCAATGAAGAGTTTAATTCCACCTCAAAGGCTTCAGGATCAGAACATGAGATGTTGACTTCACATCAACAGGGCTCATGCAGACTGTCCAGGCTCTCTAGCTCTCAGGCCACTTGTTCTACCTTTCCACAATACTTGTTTTAGTTCACAAACTGTGCCCTTTTTCACCCACATACAGAAGACCAGAGCTGTGTCTAATGCACAGACTTAAATACACAGATAAAAATAATGTTTTCTGTACGTGTTTCAGATTGCTTTGGGAATCTAAACACAGAATTTTTAAAATTTTAAACATTTATAACTAAGTTGTTTTTTTTTAAATGATAGGACTGGCACTACAGAAGCATGACAAACATGCTCAGTAGAAAGCTGTATCTTAGAGAGAGATACTGGACTTTAGTGCCACTGGCAATTCTTTGTTATCCTAGACTCTTTTATGCACTTTTTACTGTTAAATATAAATTACAAACCACCAAATAGTGCTATCAGATTTGTAGTAAAAAAGAGCAATTTGGGGGAGTAGGCAGCAGAAGGGGATGTAAAAGAATTAAGATGTGTAACGGACATGTACCCACTACCCACAATTAATACATTTTTTATGTACCACAGACATATGCCCCAAAAAGGAAGTTATGTCACCTTCCCTTTCCTTAGGTTTCACTAGACATATCTACCAGATATAAAGAAATCTAAAAGGTTTCAAAAGGGAGCAAAGTTATAAGCAAAAGAAATAAAAATAATACCAGACTTCTTACTAGCAGCGCGAGTAATCCGAAGACAATACAGGAATGAATGGTCTGGCAACTTTGAGGAAAATATTTCAAACACAAAATATATGTAACACATCTAGCAATTTCTATTAAGAGGTTCTTTCATTATGTAGTTCCTGGGATTGAGATGCATACAGTTATTTTAGCCTTAGAAAAACTCTCTTTTAGAACATTTGCTTGCTTTTGAATATTTAAATAACGGGCAAGTTATGTTCAAATACAAAATTTGCATATTGAGTTATATCTATAAATTTACCTTTCTATATTGCAAGTATTATACAAGAAATTTTTGTTTTAATTTTTAAATTACATTTTAAAATGTTATTTAAGAAATTTTTGCTAGATGTGATGGCCCATGAGTATGATCTAGGCAAAGAGAATTGTTAAGTTTGGCCCCAGCCTAGAGAATTTAGTAACTTGTCTCAGGATAAAAAATATAAAGGACTGGGGATGCAGCTCAATGCAAAGGTCCTGTGTTCAATCCCCAATAATATAAATAAATAAGTAAATAAATGAAATCCTAATGGATTATTTATTCTATTTATTAAGAAGATAACAAAAACTATACAGATCTTATTATGTATATATAAAGATAAAGTTGTTTCAAAATAATTGTATGAAAACAATTTAGAAGTGTTACTGGTATATTTTTATTGTTGTCTATTCAGGATAATTTTTGAATGCAGTTGCTTTAGCAAGCCTTCTTAAAGTTGAGTATGTTCTATTCCTATTTGTTACCCAGAAAAGTCTATTCTAGGTATTTACCATTGAGAAACTCTTGCAGATAAAGGGACATATGAAGACAAATTTCTTCCATTATAGTTTAAACAGTCCAAGGGTGAGGAGTAGATAATAAGTTTAATCATCAAATGGAATATAATGTTGTGAAAATGAATAAATTAGTGCTACATTTATCTATGTGTTTAAATATCTCAAACATGTAATTGCATTTAAAAGCAAGTTAATTATATAAAATTTGTTAATCAATATTAAATGAAAAAGAATGAAGTCCACCTGCTAAAATATGCACAATATTATAATATAAGGACACTGCTTATGTTTGAGGTGGGAAGTAAAGGAGAGCAGACAGTGGTAGAGTGCCAACTATAGCTGTTATTTGTTTTTAAAAAGAAAGGAATCTGAAGTCAATATGACTCTGGTTACCATTTTTCAGGCAGTGCCTTTATTTCTGAAATTTTCATAATTCAAAGTGACTACTTTAAGTAAACAATCAAACAATATTTTAACCTTTCTACC